GGAACAGAAATAGTACTTGTAAATTCTTGAGTGAATATAAAATTAAAAGATGATCAATGAATAGACTCCATATCCGATTACCAAACCAAACATAGATTGTAAAATGTTCAAATTATTTGAGCTCGGATTTGGCAATTTTGTCGGTGTCATCCAAAAATTGATAACATAGCCGTTGTCGTGGTACTTTAGCTAAAATGCCTTTCGTATAGTAATAGCGTAGACCACGGCTTAATTTTTCATAATTCATGGTATCATTATTTTTGTGATATCCCCATAGGTGTGCAATGGCGGTTGGATTGCGCAATTTAAAAATGCGTTCCTTTTTATCAATCCATGAAATAATGTCTTTGTAACGAGAATCTTCCAATAAAGTTATCAGGAATTGCCATAGATAGGAGCAGTTTTTGGTCACTATGATTTAATACACATAAAATAATTGATTATTAGGCATTGCACCTTTGGATTCTTCTATTAGCTAGATGCACATTCTATGAATATAACAGTAAAGATCCCATTTCTATGCACCTTGTAGTTATGCAAAGGTTGAGTCTATATTATTTACAAGCTATGTTTAACCTTCGATTACTTTCAACTATGGGATTGATAACTATTATAATAACCATCCGTATTTCAATTCTCAACGATATCATGACCATCTTATCTTACCTGGTGGTAAAAATTTTCCATTCTTAAATATTCTTGGCGATACTAAATAAGGATTTGCTGATTTGAAGGATTAAAACAAATTGTCGATTAATATTTTATCAGTAAATTGGAGGGATAAGCTAATCAATATCTTATCCTACTCTATTGCACTATATATAACAGGTTAAATAGTTATTCATAAAATTTTGCTAATTTATTATAGTTGCCTTTGTTTATGCTATGGTCGCTGGGCATTGCATGATAATTGACATTAGGGCGACTTGGGTGCGAATAAGGAGTAGTTGGAGGAAGATGACATCCTTCCATTTTAACTATAAGAATAATAATACAATCAGTGATTGAAGCTAATTGATATCATTCTTGTAGATTTAGTTAGTTTAATTTTACACAGAATCGATAACATAAAAATAAGCAAGTATATTTATGAATCGAGGTTATAAATATTATTAAGTGGCGTATTATAACGCTATTCAGTAAGCATAATGAATTATCCGCTTTGCGGTAATAACTGAATGTCACGAGACAAGATTTATAAGAAAATCCTACATTATTTGCAGTGATTTAATATTCAATGTCAATCAATGAATCTACCTTCCTTATATTTATAGGCCATATGCTGTAGATCTAAGACTTATTTTATACGGTAGCTTTGCTGAGGCAAATAACATTATCGTGAGTAACCCCGAATTTAACTGATTAAGGATGAAGCATGTATAATATACACAAATTGCTACTTGAATTAGCATTGCTTAAGATGGAAAAGCCCTAACCCAAGGCAGAAATACGGATAAGTTATCAATGGGGATTACCATCGATAAATTTAGAGGTTATTAAGTGTACGATCAATCGTGTAAAAGATTAAACATCAAATTAGGATTTAAATTATTAATATATAACAAGATCTATCGATATAAAGTGTAATTTCTATTTAATTATCTTTAAATAAAATACTTAAAAAAATGATTTACTTTCAACGTATAAGATAAACAGGTAAAGCTAGATGACCTCAGTAACTTGAGAGGCAAAATGCCATAAAAAGTATTGACTTTACAATAGCTTGACTAATAAGATCGAAAATAATTTCAATTAAGCTATGACTAAATAACATTGCTATGTATAGTAATAATATTCTCGTTAACCGCCCCAATATTTAACGACCTAATGTTTATCAGGTTTTATTGTTTGTCTAACTATAGGAAATTGATAGATTATTATTTGTATGTTCAAATAATAAGGAATGCATTATAAGCTATTTTTTTATGCTTCGATGCATTTAATAAGCAAAGCAGAGTTTAAATTAAAGGTTATGATAATGTCATAGAAATAATGGACAGTTTAACGCTATTATTATATCAGAGTAGACTGCCGTAATAGATTGTAGAAATACATTTGGCGTTTATGGTAGCTTCGAGTTGGACAAGATTTACTAGACTTTCAGTAGCTACTATTTCTAAATCATCAAGCTACCTTTCATTATTATGAGGGAAGCTTTGTGCAATAATAACAGCTATTGCTATTGTATTAAAAAACTTATTTACAAATATGTCGGGATCAGAATATAATGTTTCACTGTGATTTTAATTCTGCACAGCCTACAACACAGGTGCTCTATGGAGATATATTATTCGACGTTCATGTACAACTGAATTCAAGTTGGACATCATTCCTATACATTCCTTTCTTTTAAGTAACCTTTTCAGACACGAAGGACAATTTACTAATTGGATAACAAATGGATAGTATTGAAAACACGTTGCCTTTCATAAGTCAACAAAAATCAATATGGAATGTTGCTACATTGATTTATAAGTTATGAAAATTTAATTAAAGTCCTATAGTGATGTAAATTAAAATCAATGGGAACAATAATAACTTGTTAAAGCCCTATTCTGTACTTCCAGTCTAAGTTAGTTTCGAGGAAACCTTGATATAATTCCAGACAGAAGAATTTATAATTGTAAATTAAGTTTTATTGCTGCCTGTGAAAGTGTAGTATACTATTAATAGCCCCTATTTCAAGGGAAGCTTGAACTGTTTTAATATTCAACGCCTTCAACTAGATAGAACAGACGGATAGAATATCCCTTATTAGACTGAGTTCGCTGAATTAAGGACTAAAACCTCGGTAATTTTCCATTATACGCATAGTAGATTTCATAATTTTATATGATGAATAGAACATTCACTTTCATAATTTGGTATGTGATTTTAAAAGCATTTAAGATAACTGTCACTGATAAAAAGTGAGTTATGTCGATCAAATGGTGATCTTAGCTGAAAATTGCTAATTCAAATCAGTCTAAGTTATAGTCCTTCACATATTGTACGTCTACTGTTAGAACGCATAAGCATAGCAACTATTGTTTCATTGTACTGATTTTAAATGCAAAATATGCATGGATAATTAGTAATTTTTTAGTTCTGAAATAGCTATAGTAATGATCAAAACGGCGGGAATTAGAAAGTAAAAGAAAAATAAGATAAAAAAGACTGAATAAAAATGATGAGAAGTCCAATGCAAAGGACGGTAAACTAGATCTGATATTAAAATCTAAATTAACAACACAAAGAAAATGGAGTAGTTATATTTGCTTGGATTAGAACAGGAATAAAGTGGATTAGTAAGCCATTGCTATTTATAAATTTGTAGCCATAGATAGGTTTCTTTCTTTTGTTGTAGCATTGGTTGTAGTTACTTCTAGTGGCCATCATGGAGATGGGCCCTGCTGCGACAATGGTAGTACTATGATGGATAATCTGATATTTTGGGTCATATTTTATCAATTCTGACTTAGATCAACGATTAGAATGAAGGATTACTGACAATGTAACAACGACTATCGCACTAGAGGACTGCAGTCACATGCGATTTTACCATTTGTTCTTCTTTACTTTATTTGCTAATGTGCTATAAACCAGTAACACTTTTTAAATGAAGTACCTTAGTGACAAGTATCGATATATTCTCTCCCAATACTAAGTTTAGAAAGTTATTTGCAAAAAATAACATTGTGGGCATATTTATAATTAATCTTGTTGGTACTAAAGATGAAAGACGAGCACGATAGATAGCACGATTTTGTAATTATTTTCTATTTACCTCGAAGCAATGGCGAAGGACCATCCGGATATCCCTGCCAGTATGGATTACCTAAGAGATCAAGAGAAATGATTAAACAAATGAGAAATAACTAATTCAACTTTGAAGCTATTTGTATTGTGTATTAAAATAAAATCATATCTCAATGTTGGACTATCAATCCATTCAACCGATTGAATCACTGTTTAGAATTATCCCATATTGAATCAAAAGTGTCAAAGTTGTTGGGCTTAACATACCCATTAAAACGATTGGTTTAGGACATGTTGGCATAAAAAATAAGTTAGAGTTAGTATTATAGACCGTTGAAGGACAAGTTTCAAGGACTGCCATGGTGTTGAATAGCAATAGAGAGAAGTGGATAATAAATGGAAGCTAATAAAATTGATATTCTACTCTCGTCAATTAATTGACAGTCTTAAGTTGTAATTTTTTAGTGCAATTTAAACGATTATAGTATACTGCGATACAGTTCTATTTGAATTTTTGAGTAGAATTATAGCTCATGGAAAAGGTAATCTCAACTACCGTATTATTCTATATGAACACTTCCCGCTGTAGGCTGCACTTTAAATAGTATCCAATTGCGGAAGTATATTTTCTCTACAACTTTGTATTCTTAATCACAGGGACAAAAGAAAAGAATAAGCTATTGATAAATCCTAGTGAAGTAAACATAGAATTTTATTTCCTGTTTATTAATCTATTGTGTTTTAAGACTTATAGTAAATGAATCGGATCAAACAATTGGAAAATTTAAAAAATGCTTATAGTTAGAGTAGGCATTTGCAGTGGTAATAGGAACTCCATTGAATGACAACGGTAGTTGGTTAATTCGGGAAGTAGAGCTAAGTAAAACTTTAATTTTTACCCTGTCATCAGAAAAATTATTATTCTTTAATAAGCCAAAAGGTAAATAAAGTTACGTATATTTCTAGTCCAAGTGATCAATTACGATTATAATTATCAGACTTTTACGGTAAAAGAGTAATTGTCAGAAATGATGCAAATTGAATTTTTTTTCACTGCATATGGCAACAAAAAACAATAAAGGGAAAGAGTTTTTGTGATAATTTCTTGAGGGAAGAATGCTTGAGGAAAGTAATTATTAGTGGTTTATATTCATTTCGATCACGATAAATAAAGTGAACTGGCAATCTGATCCATTAGCTCAAAATGTTCAATGTTAACTGAACGATATCATTGACAATGCTCATTTATATCGTACCTTTCCAACTAGTCAAAGACATACTTCCGGATTTGAGTGCTGCTAAATTATTAGAGTTTAGCGTCGGAGTAGTTAACCCATAGTGTAATATAAAGTGAAGATATCAGTATAAATTGTGCGATAAAATAGTATAGTTTCGGTTATTATTATTTTTTAGCCTTGTTGTATTATTAGCACAAGAATAAATTATTTCTTCGGAAATGACCACAAAGATAACCGATCATCGGTAATGGAAAGACAAAACTGGAAGCTAATGTTGTAGCAGTTCAGTCGCTTTTTCTACATTATGGATATCATTAGTCGTTCTGTAGGTGGAACAGGAAGTACGTTCGATGATTACCTTGTTCCTTGTTGGGTGATTATCTGATTTATATTCCAATGTTGCTGTATCAGAAGAAGTAAAAGCAAGAATGGTCTAGCCCACATTTGAAATTTTATGGCGTATTATCAATATTCGATAATGAGAGCAAACTATTAGAACATTGCGTTTCTGTTACGCCTGCTAATTGAATAAATAGCGTCGGCCAATATCGTCAAATTTAAGTACCATTGAGTTCGATACTGATAATTTAAATGCAATCCTAGGGAATCCAGCCAATATGGCTATTTGATATGACTTTAGAGCTAGATACCGGTAATTTAAAAGTTATCATAGGAAACTAAGATTCAGTATAGCTACTTTAATACTATCAAGTCAGATACAGGTAGTGGAAATATTATAAGAAAGCCAGTTGATACAGATTTTGGGTGAATAGTAAGTATTGAATCATTGATTAATTTTATTTGCTAGAGCTATTTCAATTGACCAGGATTCTATTTTTCAGCAAGTATCCAATATTGTGGATAGTATGGAACAAAAGCAGTATAAGGATAAATGTTCTAATATTGAATAATAACTGACTTATCACTTCCGCATTGCAGTGGGCCCATAAAAGTATGACCTCAATTGAATTATTTATTTGTAAAATTTAAACGCAAATATATGTATACGCATAATTACGCAATCTATTGCAGGAAAAGAAAGTGAATCATTTAAAAGTAGTATAACGGTAGTATTTCAGCAATTTATTAGCGGAATCTTCGCATTGAATCTGACGCTCAATTCTAATTGAATGGTGACTTTTTTAAGAGACTATGGCATCAAACATCCATCTACAAGGCTAAAATAGTCTGGCTACACCTTTAAAGCAATTTGTATTAGTCGTTCCACCGAATTTGAATCAATTAGATAGTACTGTGCAAACATATGATACGGAATGACAGCAATTTTACTTTCTGTAGAGTAAGAAAATTGATTGGGACCGTTGTCACTTTGTAAAATTCTAGTTAGTGTAGAGACTGCTTTCAAGCAAGACTATGAAAACTTAAGACATTTCCCGAAAAAACGCTTATAGCGTTGAAATAATATGTAGAACACAATTTCTTTACATTTGTGGTAATCGATAAAACTAATCTCAAGTTATACTATACATATCCATTCAGTAATAAAAAGCCCTTGGTTTAAGTTTAATATAGTGAATAGCTATAGTAATCTAAACGATAAGTGATGAGACCTGGAAACGGTAATGCAGATGAATTGATTCTGCCCTTTTTAATCTCTTCATAACCATTTTTGTCGTTGTTATTTTCTGCTAAGTACCTTAAAAGGAACGTTTGTATAGCATATAGAGCAAGGCTACGAGTGAATAAAGGTATAAGAAAGAAGACAAATCATGACTAAACATTCACAGTTACTGGAGATAAAGTCTATGTCTTATCTATTTCTCCAGATATAAAACAAATATATCAATGTATGATAAACTAAGATATCAGAGAACGAATTGATCTTTTCTCTGCAAGGCAAATATCAGATTAAATCAAATAGATGACGGAGTTTAAATTGGCTGTAAGATATTTATAGTGTCACTTTGTATCATTACTTCTGTCGCTCGTAATGGGAAGCGATTAATACAAATAGAGAATAAAGGATCATTAGAAGCCTTGATATTGCGATCGCCAAAATTTCGTTAGCATCCGCTTAATGGCGCTAGACTACCGAAAGGCATAATTCAGTCAGTGGACTGGATAGCGGTAGAAAATATTGAAAAAATTGATTACGAATATGAGGTAACCTGTATTTCTATTTTTATGACATAAAGTTATCTTGACAGGATTAATATAGAACTAGGAACCAAAATAAAGGATTGCAAACCTATAAGTTGAGCATAGTAAACTTACAATACTGAAGTGAATATATAGAAGTATGAATCCGCTGTTATAATTGGATTTAAAGATCTAATGATATATAATCGTAGTGTATGAGTTCTTAACCATAACTGCTATAATTAGCTGATACAGTAGGCGATAAAGACGAAGTTAGCTATGAAAAATGATTTTATGGCCATACTGATAATTTTGAAAAATGAACGATGCATTTAGCTTATTGCTGAAGTACCGTTTTGCAAGGAAAAATTGGTCAAGAATTGCTCTGACAGTTTCCAAGCTCAGAACTTTAACCGCTTTATCAAGATAAATTTAGCTACTAAGGTATATTTTGTTGCAAATTAAGAAAGAACACATCAATAGAAATATCAAAGTTGGATGATTGAATAGATAGCACTAAAGCAACTATTCCAAAACGGAAGTAGAAGCATAATTCTTCTACATATAATATGGTACTTTCGATAGAAGCCTAGTCTAAGCTCAGTGAAAGCAGACTTACTTCACAACTGCATGCTTTGACTTTTCGTCGTCACTATTGGCTATCACTCGATGCATTTGAAAAGTTAAGTTTAAGCGTTGCCATTGATTAATAGCTGACTTAAGTTAGTGTAATTTAATTGATAGCTCATACCGAGTTAGATACTGACTGGCGAGGTTACTAGTGTTTCAAAATCGCGGTAAATAAGTATATAATGTCACCTAACCATAGAGATTTATTGTTTGAGGTAGTGAAAGATTTACATTCGTGTACTTTCGATAGCTACCACGTATAAGTAATAAGTACAGACTTTCTGCTAAAAATTGTTTCATTCTACTCATTGCAGAATATCAAATAGGATATGCGATTAGTAGTTGATACTTAGTCACAGGAGAGAGTTGAAATAGTTAAAGTTCTGTATTAATAATTTATTAATAAATATTTAGAAATTAAGAAGTCTTTTAATTACTCTCATAGCATTAATTGTTAGGATAGCCTAGTTTATATGACATTACAGCTTGCTACTATAATATTATTTAGGGTCTACCCGGAACATAACGGTAAATAAGAAAGAACTTTTAATATCCCTTCAGTATCGCTAAAAGTACATCCCTCCTATTTATTGTAGATGTTAAATGGATACTCTAGTTGACTGGTTGATTATTATTCAGGAAACTGAAAGATTCCTAAGTAAGGTTTTACGTATAGCATAGAATTTAATAAGGAAAGTTTTCTTGGAAAGATAAAAGTTTTTGTTTCATTTAGTGTGATGATTGACTTTGGCTAGATACACTTCTCTTGCGTGATTCCTATTTATTAGTCTACGTTCTATCTTACGTATAGACTTTGTAAATTTCCATATTTAATTCCTATTACGACCTGAAAGCTTGTTCTCCTCAACATTAAAGTTAAGACCTTTATTCACTACTTTCAATACTATCGTAGTTGAAAATCATCCATTAGTTCTTCTTATATTACTTGAGAATTATTACTGATAATCTTTCTTAGAGCTTATACAATGAGTCAATAGATGGTAATCAAATCGAAATCTTTACGCTGTAGGATGAAATGAAATGTAACGATAGTTTTAGATTTTATGAGCACAAAAATTGAACAACCGTTGCTTGTTAGCAACTTATCACTCCAAAGATAAATTATATCATTTATACTGGTCTCCTACATGCTCCCGTTAAGAGTCAAATATTAAGTAGTGATTGAGGAAGATAGTTTATGCATATTGTAGAAGGAGTTATGAGTATGCTCTGATTCGACTAAAAGAGAGGAAATTATATCGATTGTGAAGCTACAAAGATTATATTTTATACATTATGGATAGCTTGAAAGGAGAAAACTGTGTATCTGTATTGATTATTAACTACGGTAGTTGCAATAGAATTTTGGTATAATCAGCTTGGAATAAACGGAACTGTTTCTACGACACAGGTACTGAACCTGATAACGGTGTAGAAATTTTCCTGTTAGTCATCTAAGAAAACTGCTTGTCTACGTATAATGATCTACCAGTTTCTGCATAGGTAAACATTGCAAATATGAAATAGTGTCTGGGAAGGATACGCTACAAAATGATAAAATAATTCTTTCTAACTGAATTATACATAAAGTACGAATGTGTGTGAAAGCTAGAATGTTGTGTCCTCAAGTGGAGATTAAGCTAGATGTGATATACCTCCGTGTTAGTCTTTTAATTGGAATAGAGAAAATAAAGACCATAATTTACTTTAATTTTAAGAACTTTATAGCATTTTCTGTGTAGAAGTTAATCAATTGATACCTGAATGTTTCAGTTGCGGGTGTATTTTACTTGAATAATAGGGTATCGATCTCGTTCTATAAGTATGTTGATATGAGTAGATGAATGTATCGGATTGTGATCGTAATGTTTACTCATATTATAATAATTCGATTTTAACCTAAGTTTGTAATAATAGCTATAAAGATAAACAAAACTCGTCTTAGAAGTACCCAGATGACTGCTATGTCAGAAATAGTATTTAGATCTCGAAGGTTTTTATATCATAAAACCCAATGTTGATAATAATGCTGCTACTGATGATAATAATAAAGATGATGATAACAATTATTATCAGCGACATGAACAAGTGGAGTACTTATTGAGGTCAATCAACATAAAATACTAACCTTCAGCCGAAAATTGTTTATAATCATTCGGTAGGGTAGAAGTTAAAGCAGTGGCTGCATTGGGTACTGATGTTGCTGTTTCATAAGGATAACCAGTTGTAGGAGAATAGAAGCAATAGACAAGAGGAGTTGCCGCTGTATGATTATTGTAATTGCTGGTGGTTTTATAAGGGTCTACTGAAGTATTAGGTATAGTTGGGTCAAACAGTTGACCCCGATGGATATAATTATTCGTTGTTTTGTCATGAGTTGAAGAAATAGTATGAAGCAACGTTGATGGCGATGACATTGATGTTGTTGCCGGTATAGTGGCTGCATGACAATGTCGATTGAATGCATCAACATGCTGTACCGTGGGATATTGTGGCAATGAGACCGTCCATGATGATGGTGGCGTAAGTAAAATAGAATCTTTCCATGTTGTATTGCTATAACATTGGCAACCGCCTTGTTTAAAAGCGCAATATCAGCCACCGAATGGACATCATTACAATAGATTTGGAAAAATAAAATTGTCTAAATCAATTGTTATTTTTTTGATAAACAGAATTCGGTTCTGTCATGTTTATAGTTTAGATCAATGGGCAATTATTAATCAATTATTGTTATTTTTTACTTTCTTCACGGCTGAAATTTTACCCCTTATATCGCCATCATTCATCAATATGTTTACCGATCATTGAATCATTTGTTAAAACTTTGATTTAAGGATAAAATAAAATCATTAATTTGCAGTAACAAATACGGAAACATGCCGGCATTATAGAATTAGGGTAAAAGATATATGAACATGATATAATAACTCCAATGTTCGCCTAAAAAAGCTGTAATATGTTTTATATTTTAAGAATCGATTAACGAATTAAATGTGCGAAGCTAGCATTCTAATAAGACTAAGCATCATACATAAACTGTTTTTACATTGACTAATAATTACTGAAAGATACCATGCAAATAATGTATTGTTCAGTACAAGAATTAGCAATTATCTTTCATATGGGAATAAAATAACAGGATATTCTTACAATATTGCTTCCATCACTATTACTTATGCAGATTATTATAATATTGAAGTAATGAATTGAAAAAATAAATAACATTCTAGGATACTATAAAAAATTAGGCGATGGAAAATCTATTCCGTCCTATGCTAATAAAATCTCGAAGTGTGTAATTTAAATAACTTGCGTGTTATCACCTTTGATTAAAAATGATTACCTTTAGACTCAAAAGTAGTTGCGTTTGATATTTTTACAATATCAAGATAATTCTTTTATAGTATGAGAGAATGACTTTTCGGTATTTTTGTTTGTTATTTTATCGCTTACTATTGATACTCACATGTGTAATATTGTTCTCTATCGGTTAAGCACATATATTTAGCGTCTTAATTGAAGTGAAGTAAATGTTTTCTATATCAATAAAATTATGATCAAAATTGATAGAATTTGTAGGCACTAAGGCTCGATGACTGTTATAAAATTAATGTTGAAGTGTGATTGGTTTTTCTGTTTGTGAGCAGTTATAATGATGAATGGGGAACTAAATGGCTAAGATTCTTTAAAGGTATTAGCGCCACATTGAACTTGCTATCATACATCATATATATTTATTGAATCCTTAATTTCTTGTGAATATTATAACTTCCTTTCATAACAACTATAAGTTTGAACAATCGATCTACTGAGTGTCCAGCTTCAGTGTATAAAGTATACACAATCATACGTGTATCTGAAATTTAGAAATAACTATTTACATGCAATATTCTATTAATGTAAGAAAATTTATTACATTTTCCCCCATATGGCTTCCGTGTATGTTTACCAAATAATTATTGGCTATAATAAATATAGAAAATATCATGTCTATTAAACTGAATTAAAATTTTTTGTCTGTACCGAAATATGATCGGACGTACGTATTTCATTTTTAACGGCAGGCATGTGGAGTAGTTTTAGTGCAGGATAAAAACCAGTTACGGGATTGTTTAATATATAAGAAACCTACCATATTGTCTAACTGTAGGTTCAAAAATGTAACTAATCTAAAGGGTAAAGCGAATTTTTTAAAGTGTAATTTTATGAAAGCAACTTATTTAATATTTACGCTTACAGTATACCTACTATTGACAGGATAAGAAATTGTTTATTAGTAACGCTAATGGTTGGACGTTGGAGTATGTTAAAATACATGATGTAAATTTCTTTCATATGTATTTGAGAATGAAGATGGATTTAGAATTATAATTAAAGATGACTACCATATGTCTAATACTAGAAGGAATTCTAGGCTTTCCATCGTCGCTGAAATTACTAACTTACGTATATTCTTAATCTATTTGCTAGACAGAAATTGACTGATTTTACGTGCTTGAGGCGTAAGTTAGATATTTTAATTTATGCTACGTATAAAATTAATTTAAAATATATACGAAAAATTCTCTATAATACTGTAATTTAAATAGGTTAGACTGTGCGAATTATTAGTTGTCAGAAAGATAGTAGATGGAAATAATACAGTAGTTATTGATATGCAAGTAATATGCCATCATAGCTCTTTCATAGTTCGAACTATAACATAAAGTAGAAAATTCCTGTTATTTGGTATTGCTAAATATTTCTAGTATAATGAATATTTTACTGATATTAGTTGTAACATTTATGAGGATGATCATACAAATATACAGCAATATTCCTTGATGGATCGGTGCATTTGCTAGTATATGTCATTTTAAAAATTTTTTCGGGGATTGCTTGATTTCACAGCTTTATAACTAACTGTGCCTATCTGTCATGTGTAAGACATTAATCAAGAGGATCATTCTTATTTCATTTATTACCGATGTTATAAGGAGGCAGACGTGTTTAACTTGCAGGATATCTAATTAAAAATACTACCGATAAACATAAGGTTTGTTCGTGTACTTAGCATGAATTGGCCTAAGTTTGTTTATTGTTACGTTAATTGGGGTTAGTTTATAATACACCTATAGATTGAAACTTAACCTGTAAATGAATAAATAATTACAAAGATTATGATGGCGATGATAAGGGGAGCCTTGATGAAGAATTATTAAAATACACTTTTGTGGATGTAGTGATAAACATATTAAACGTTCTTAATTATTAATCTAACGTTTAATAACGGACAATAACAATTTTATATAGCTGCGATTAAATAATTCCTACCCTGGTTCTTCATCTTTGAATTCGATTAAATCTGCCGCTTAGCAATCTAATGGTGATAATGGCCGATGTGGTCGAAATAGTTGTTTTAGCGTAGATAGATGAAGATTGAATGAAATAATTTATGGAGTAAAAGAAAATTATTTGAACAGCACCCGTATTTTGACTTAGTGTCTAGATTAAGATGATATGGATTTCTAGATTAGTATTTATCCGGCGATAAATACCGTAACTCTTGAAATTAGTAACCGAAATAAGGAAATGAGAGATATAGTATGTTTTTGTATGAGTCGATACCCTTAACTGTATTGTTATAAGGCAGTGTTTTAACTTTTCCGGATAATTTTTCAATTCGTTAATACCTTTTTCAAAATTAGTAGAAGCTTGACAAATGAAGATAAATGATAAATTTGGTACTAACTGTTAAATAATTCTGTCGATAATCGGTGAAAGGCTTTTAGAAAGAAATATGATAGCGGATTGAGTAATTACCAAAGTAATCAACCATAGAGAAAAATTTTAGCAAATTATAAGAAAGTATGAGGCGTACATTTAATCAATTTTAGCTTAGATTTAGAATATCCCAATTGCGATTATAAGTATCCAAAATGCTTCCATGTATTATAGTCAAGTAAAAATTTGATTTTGGACGTACAGTAACAAAGCTTAATGGCCAAGTATCCACTTAGAGAAGTAATCTTAGTTGTTATTGACCTGACGAATGTTATATTTTGCTGTTCTGGTATTGGCGTTTCGAGTATAATTGCTGTAGAATAGTTACAAGGAGTAGGAATATTATTTTAAAGATAGAAGATGAGATTTACAGCTTTGCATCAGTCTATTTTATCACAGCCGAATCTACTATGTTAATGGTAGCAGGTGGGAGAGTGGATTGGTAATGAGGTGATAGGAATAAGGTATATATCTATCTCGGTATGAATTAGATGACAAATAAATTGTTTACTTATACTATTCGAAATGGGCTAATCTGTGCTTTTAATTTGGAGCGGTAGCTATCGATATTGATTTAATTGAAGACATGTTTATAGTACTAAATTATAAAAAGAGGAAGCTGAAACCCGGTATATCATATTTATAAATACAATACATTATGAAAGATGTGTATTTTTATATTATATTTTTTCTTCATTTATTGATAAATCAATAATTCATCTTTAAAATGATTTGCCGCACATATAGCAGCAGATGGGTATTGATTATATTGGATTAATGGAGCATTTCTAGTCAATAGATTAGCTATAATGAGTGTTGCATTGACTTAATGTAAAAGGAGGTGGAAGTAGTAATGATTAAACTATAGTTTATGGAATCTTAACAAATCAACAGCTCGCGTTGATATGAATTGTTCAGTATCATACAACAAGTTAATTTTAGTAGGTAGTAATTATCATTAATAAGCTTCCTATTAATTGTCGCTTACTATTCATTTAATTAAAATGTCATCTATTATTATATGGAAATTCTTAGTTAAATTGTACCATTCTATTTATTGTTCCGTAACTATACTCTTGTTTTGTTGATGATCATATTCGATTTTTAATGTTATCAAGCAAAATATTCCAAACAATTTTTTATCTGTCATTCTTCACATCCGCTTTAGCTAGTTTAATAACAACAGATTGAAATCGCACGCCACATATTGGCTGGTACTGTCAGGATAAACGATTTGTCGGATTGAATGAGCTTCCATATATTGACTAAAGAGAGCATTGATACAAAGCCAGTATACATAAACAATATTTAACTTCCAGATTCATCGTCATCTTACCAGCACTTGATTTCTAATTACTGCACGATGTATATAATTCCTATTGCATTTTTTTATTTAGATATATTGAAAAAAGTAGGCCGCTGTTCATAACGTAGATCAAAATTGTTAACTTTTGTAAACTATTTGCTGCTATCATAAGATTTTTATGACATTAATTTAAAACGAGATGTTCTATTACAGATGTTTCAGCTGTAGAACCAATAAATTCTAGCTTCTTGTTGGCTGAAAATGGACCTCCTATCGATTAATGGGTACGTATACGATTGGGATTCATCTGCTGCGGAATTTCTTTATTAGCATTAAATACAACAG